TCTTTATTTAAGGGAGATACTAAACAATTCAGATTGCTAATCGCCGATCAAGTAAAATATTTGAATTTATTTCAATCAAACTTATTACGTGTATTATGATACTAAATTTTGTAGAAAAATATCTTGCAAAACAAAGTACCTGAAACATAAACTTAATTCTGAAGTTAACTTTAGAATCATAAATTATCGTAAATACGCATCAAATTTACGATAGTTCATGATTCTAAAATTAACTAAAAATAAGCAAATTACAGCACATTTGGAAGCAGAAACTTCCAAATTTACAAATAAGCTGTAAAACAAGATTAATGCATAACTTGTATAAGAGTTGATTCGTTGTCTGTGAATCCTCGATCAATGTATATCTCAGTTTTTTAAGAGGATAAGAGAGATTGGAGATTTAAAGATTAGAATTATTAAATAAATGATAATCAGTTTTGGAAATGCACATTTCATTCTACATTTAAAAATAAGCTTTAAAATAAGTCTAATTCTCTAAAGTAAACGTTAAGTAATAGCGTTTTCCCTCGAGATACACTGAGTGCAGCCTTGCACCGCATCAGTTGTGTGTAAGCACTACATTTAGTTACACTGCTCTAGAGTGGTACACACCATGGTACATTACTTTATTATTGCGCTAAAACCTTGATCCCACTTGACTTCCATTTTCAAATGTCACATTGGCTCTATACCGTCCCTTTGAGGTGTAGCAAAATCCTACTTCGTGCATAAAATTAGCAGTACACCATAGCCACGCAAATACAGTACACTGTCTGAGTGTTACATTAGTGGGCGATAGTGCCGCCAAGAGAAAACGCTAATAAGAGATAAATCCCTTTTCACAAAAAATTATAACAAGATCAAAAGAAGCCATAACTCTTTAGAAATTTGTAGCATTATAATTATATTCTTTACTTGTTTTAATCATTTAAAAACATTAATTAATGCATATATTCGTGTGTATTAATGTTATATTTAATATTATCGCTTACAATATAAAGAATTTTTACGGCAGTATTTATATATCATTTTACATATCCTCGGTATCACTGTCCGAATCTTCTGCCATTGCCTGTCGTGCCTTCGTTTCAGCTTCAGCTTTTAAATCTGCCGGCACACGTTGATGAATTCCTTTAGTATGTGCACCAACCCAACTCATTTCCAATTCGAATTGTTTATCCTTAAGTTCATCGTGGACAAGGTATATAATACGAGCAGCTTCTTTAACTAAATCTTTACAAGTCATTTCTGATAATTTTAATTTTTCAATTTCCGTCTTGGCTGACTGTTTTGCTTTACCTGTGGATAATATGATCACAAAACATCAATTTCTGTCTGTACGGCTAGTACTCATAGTCCACTTTTATTTCAAGATCATTTTAAGTAATATCTTGTAATGTTAATAATACTTTTTGATTGGTTTATAACATTTTAAGATTGTACTTAAGTTTTAAATATAAGAATTAATTAACTTTGAATACGGTCTACGTTCCATCTTTTTTTAAAACAGACTTCACTTACCTACTGCACAGCCATAATAACCATATGATACTCCTGATGGGTCAATCATATACAATGTTGGACCATCTGTCTCATAAGCACTGAGCAGGACTGAGCAACCATATGGACGTACAGCAGAATACAAGGTATACGCATGCATATACATAGAAACTCTTTCGTTTAAATACTTTAATGGAATACCGACTCCGTATTGTGCCCTGTAACTAGCAGCCTCTGATCTCGCAGTCTCTGCAATCTGTCTCGCATCCGATATTATACCAGAGACTGCCATGCCAACGTGTTGATCTATGTTAAATATTCGTTTATTTGCACCTGGTTCATACAGCTTCGACGTTACTATTTTTTCGATAGCAAATACTATGCCATCCTTCCCTCGTAAACCAATAACTGTCCTGCAACAAAGCGTGATCACATATATATAGGCTGGTATTTATAATGCTGAATTTTATACTTAAAATCTTAAGTATAGGCTTAAGATGTCATGAACCAATCAGAGACTTATATTTATAGTCGCTTCTTATATTTAAAATTGTCTTAAATATAGTCTTAAGATATCATAAGCCAATCAGAAGGCTGTGTATTAGTATCATAAGATATTACTTAAGACGATCTTGATACTAATGGACTATGAATACTGCCTACAAATAAAATGTAGACATATGTGTATGTACTTTTATTAATATTTTAGATATTCTACATGTCGCATTGATTTTCAGTAGGATTATTTAAGTAGTTATTGTGCGCGAATACTCTGATCGATATTTACATAAGAATTTATGAGGAATAAGACAAGAGAAACTCACCCTCCATTTTCTACGGCCTTATGCGCGTATTCCACTTGAAATACACGTCCGTCCGGCGAAAATTGCGAGGCGGACAAGTCATACTGGAATAAAAGTAAGGTTAAGATTTTGAATGTTAACGGTATTAACGTGACATTTTGCGATCATGTATTGAACAATGCAGGAATACTCACTCCTGTGCCTATAGAACTCATCTTTTACGGAAAACGTATAAGAAGCGATGTTAACAGTCGAAAAATGAAAAATTGTTTATGCGACGCGATGTGACTAGGCGAAAATCAAGTAAGTCAACACGACGTTAATCATCCGTCACCGTCGCACTGCGTCTAACGTCTCGCATACGTCACCGCGACTTTGAGGTTAGGTTAGGCAGTTGCGCGCTTCTAGCGTCGCTTGGTGGCAGAAATTGCACGGAAATCTACGTGGCGCCAGCAGCGCACGGCACAATAACGAAAAGGGAGTTGTGAATTTGTCTCTTCAACAAAGATTGTTACAATTTTTAATACAATGACATAAATATAATAGAAACCTACCATAGTTACAAATTACTTCAATTGTGTATGTACATACATGGAGTGGTAAGTGAGATTCTCCGTCAAGTCCACAATTTCTTTTGTAGTATCGCTAGTCTCAGTTTTTCAAAGATAAGCAGTATTGCAAACACTGCTGAACACTGCAGCTTGTTCTTGCATAAAAGTGGAGCTCTGTTTGCATTAATTATATATTTGATTTATCTAGAAATTATTGAGAGTTGTTCGAATTAAGAGAATATTTGTGTCAAATTATGGTTACATTCGGGTTTGTTATTAAATATATATATGCAGGATAAATACTAAAAGATTTTAAGAGATGGTATTTCTCATAAAAATTCAAGACGAAAACTTGATATAACTATGTATCTAAAATAACATATCAAAGATACAGGGTGTTAAAAGACAAATTTTTTTTTTAATTTTGAAAACTATTCGAATTATTTTGATGAAATTCCATTGTATGTATATATTTAAAGTCATTTAAATCGCTGAAGATATTGCGATGTACGATTTGTTGAAGCATTAATTACTGCCTGGACATTATTTAAGAAAATTGTATACTATAATAAGCGGTATGAAATTATGCATTGTATTACTAGGGCATTAATGGGCATTACTTGGGCATTATGTGAACATTAGTGTATAATATATAATTTTGATCAGCGATTTACCTCTTAGTTTCATCAAAATAACTCCAATTTGAAAAAAATTTCGAAATTTTTTAACACCTTGTATCTTTAAAATTAGCTATTCGAGATATATAATTATATGAAGTTTTCGTCTTAAATTTGTGTAACAAATTATTTCTTAAAATATTTTATAGCGTATTTAGCATATATCCTGTGTACTCAGCTAGACTTAAATAATTAACTAGTCGAATCATAGTTAATCGACGATGATAACATTAATCAAAATCTACATCAATCAATTCGACCAATAATTTCTGGATGGGTTATAATTATGTGGTACATTAAATTTATATTAAATGCAAATTACAAACCGTTTTCATACTGACCATATTAAATCACATTAATTATATTATCTATATTGTTAATTATGTATGATAATTCTGTTTAATTCTATATATTTTTAATTATTTTTATTTAATAGCAACACATTAGAGT